CGGCATGGAGCGGAAGAGGCCACGTGGGAAGTAGAACAAGAGATGTTCAAAGCATACCCGCATTTGTTTAATTTAGTAGTGTTGTTAAGCGTTTGAGTTTAGATTTCGGGGACGAAATCTTTTAAGGGGGAGTGAATTGTAATGCCCCGATTTTGGAGTGTATAAAATAATATTATTATAGCAAATAAATATTTTTATAATATTTTGGGATCAAGAAATTAATATTTTGAAATAAATTTTATTCCTATTTTATTTATTGATTATGATTAAAAAACTGTTAAACAGATAAATATCGATGAAGATAAATATAAAATATTATATATATAACAATATAATAGTAATAATAAGGTGATATAACGATGATATTAATAATATATAAATATAAGTATATATATAAAATAATAACATTAATAATAATAATAATAATAATAATAATAATAATATAATATAATAATAATAATAATAATAATAATATAATTATATATATATATATCAAACAACCTTACCTGCGAAGGAAGGAAGCAAAAGAAACGCAGGGAAAGAAGAAGAAAAGAAGGAAGAAAAAGAAAAGAAAAAAGAAAAAGATTTAGCTGTTCGATTTCGATTCCGATATTGTATTCTTTGTTATACGTATAATTTAATTATAGATTTTAATATGAATTTCGATATTGGGGATATTAAATTAGAAATTCTTTAAAAAATTCATAAATGACTATTTGGCTATTTAATCGACGAATTTCCTTAGCTAATAGCCTATTCGTAGTCCTAGCATTATATTCTGAGAATTTCGTATCGATTCGAGCCGAATTGAAAACGGCAGTGTACTGCACCTGCCTGTTTATTTATATCTTTAAGTATTTTTATTTAATAATCGGGCGATATAAATATTATGAGGTATAAGAGTTTTATAGCTAGAATATCGTAGTCTACTAAATATAAAAGTTTGAAACCCAACGAGCTAATTATAGAAATTAGCTTTTGAATAAGCAGGTAACTCCTATGAATAAGCATATAGCTCAGCTGATTTGAGTAAATAATAGGGCAGGTGTATGTTGGAGGAGATTTGGGTGAGCTTGCAAAAGCTAGGGAGTGTCGATAAGAGGTAAGCAGTAAGGAATTAAATCTAATTTTAAGAAATTAGGTATGCATGTTGCATGTGATTCTGATTAATATGTGAATGTGATATTATGTGAATCATTTTTCAGTGCATGTATATATTTATATATATATATATGTGTGTGCGTATGCATGTGGGAGATTTCACTGTTTATAATATTTGATATACGTATTTGATCGCATGGGTGAATTTATGAAAAAGAGGATAGGTGAGCTGTCTCACCAGCCCTTTTCAATAAATTCACTTATTTTACATGTTGCACACATATTGCACGGTTTATCGGATATGTTTTTATGGATCTATCGTTCAGTCGCCGTGTGCGGTAGTGCTAGGCGACGGCATCATCTGGGGTTAAGATATTCAACCCCGATGTACCGTAACACTTTGGCGATAGTGGACGATAGTAGTCGGACAACTGGGTGACTTAGTCGCACGCTCATTCAAGGATTAGACCCATTGTAGTTGAGACATATTTGGTCTAATCATTCGTGTTCGGTGTTGTTCCACTCATTAGATTTGCACCTGGTGAGGTCTACCGGTAGTTTAGGATCATTTGCCAAACTCCAAACGTGATCCCGTTAGGGCGCGCGAGGAGGAGTAGAGTTTCCGGGTTTCCCTTGGGTGATTCCAGGTTGCATGGATTCTACTACATTACACAGGATATGGCTAGTCATTGGGGGTCCTATCTTTGCTATCACAGACTATGGGGCGTCTTGTGGTTAATGGTGACAACGTTCGGCTATCCATGTATTGATTGTGGGAGTCGTATGGTGGGTATATGAAAGTGACCGGATGACCGTTATATTATTGTTGAGTAAGAAAAAAACCAATGTGCAGGGTTTTTGAGAATGAGCCTATTAATGGCAGTGGGATCCTAAATGGGTCTGAATATAAGCCAAACGGCCCAAGTATTATTAAGAAATGGGTTTTTTTGGGAGAAACCTGTGATTAGGATATTGGTGAATACAGAGGTCGGTTCAAAAGGAAGTCGGACAAAGTAAGATGAGACGGCCGATACGGGGGTCAGTCAAAAGGAAGTCCGCGAAGAAATATGAGTCGGCCGATACGGAGGTTGGTCAAAAGGAAGTCGGGCAAAGTAAGATGAGATGGCCGATGTGGGGGTCGGTCAAAAGGATGTCGGGCGAAGAAAGGTCTGTTAATTGGCGACCCGTTAATCGCCTGATTGATTGGCCGGTCATTTGGTCAAACAGTAGTTCAGTCGCTTGAAAGGGCGGTCAGTTGGTTCGCTTGATTGGGCGATCGATTAAATCGTCTGGACAGATAGTTGCAGCCGTTTGAAGGGACTAGATGGTGGTCGCTTGATTGGGCGACCAATGAATCGTCTGGACGAATGGTTGTTCAGCCATTTGCAGGGACTGGATGGTGGTCGTTTGATTGGGCGACCGATGAATTGTCTGGACGAATGGTTGTTCAACCGTTTGAAGGGACTCTATGGTGGTCGCTTAATTGGGCGACTGATTTGTCGTTTGGTCTAGCGACCAGTTAGCATCTGGATTGGTTGGCTGGTCAATCGACAAGAGGAGACGTAGCAGCAGGTGTGCCGGTCGGACAAAAAGCAGTTCTAAGACGGTTGAGAGAAGTTACAACCGGCGAACGGATCGGACAAGCGGAAGACGGGCAAGAAGAGACGTAGCAGTGGATATGCAGGTCTGGTGAAAAGCAGTTCTATGGTGGCTAGAAGAAGTTACAACTGGCAAGCGGATACGAAGGCACGACCTGATCGTGGCGGTTGACATGGGTTTTAAATAGGTTCTTTCATGGCCTAAAGAAACCATCTTCAATCGACATCAAATTCAATGAATTGCTTTTAGGGATCACCATTTTACTTTTACAGTTTGTAGCATTTATTTTTCCTATTTTATTTGTATCGTACGGTGTCTAGGGATTCTTAATCTCATACATTTATTTTATCAAATTCCAAGATAATTTCTATTTTTTGGATTTTATTTTTTTATTGTTGAAAATCGGCATTAACAATTTGGCGACCACAGTGGGAGAAAGGCAAGATTGTTGATCCTACGTCAAGAGAAAATTTTATATGAGTGAGGTCCGGCCGAATCATCAGAAGGATCCATATGGCAGGCTCACAGCCCCAAGTATCCTCAACACCGGTGGGAGAAACAATTTTACCACCCGCCATGCCAAATGCAGGGGAAGCACCACAAGCACCTGCAGATTGGGTGTCTTATGTTCAACAATTGAACAATCAGCAAACTTTGGTCATGCAGAATATGTTGCGTGAGCAACAAAACCTCATGCAAAACATGCTAGATCAGGCTTTGTCACGGATTACTCTTCAACCCACTCATTCACCACCAGGGATGTCACCATCCAAGTTACTCTTCCACCAGGACAGTTGTTTGGATTATCTCTCACGAGAACAGCTTTTTCCTGGTTTGCTAATCTTCCACCAGGACAGTTGCAAACCTGGGAAGGCTAGGAGGCAGCTTTTCATGTAAGGTTCTTTAACCCTCTCCCGACGGTCTCACTCACAGACCTCTTGGAAATCAGGCAAATGCCGGAGTAGACCGCCTACCAATTCATAGAGCGGATACGACTAATGAAGGGACGTAGCCCAACAGTCATTGAGGAGAGCGAGATGACCAATTTGGTGGTCAGGAATATGCATACCAGATTACGGGAGGCTTTAACAGCCCACGATGTTCGAGATCTAGCCAGTTTAGCATCCAAGGCAGGAAGGTTAGAATCTCTTTTTAGACAAAAAGATCACAGTTTCCGGCGGGACAAGGTCCAGCAGATGGCCAATATCGATACAGAAATGTATGCGCCAGATGATGAGCAGGGAAGTAGCGTTGAAGAAATGGCGGCTGAAATTGTAAACGGCAAGCCTTATGTGTGTTCCAAACTGAAGCCCCTTCCAGGGGCAGAAGAGCGGGAACAACCGACCTTTGACGCGTCTAAAGCACATGAAATCTTCGATATTCTACTAGCGGATGGGCAAATTCGCATCCCTAAAGGACAACGGTTAGCAACAAAGGAGGAAATAAAGGGAAGGCCATAATGTAAGTGGCATAATTCTTTTACGCATAACACTAACCAGTGTACGCATTTCCGAAAGGAAATTCAGAGGTCTATCAAAGCGGGGAGATTCAAATACGTGACGATGGGAGTAGAGCAGCAGCCCTTCCTAAAGGTAACTACTGCTGTAATCTCTATGCGATCTTCACAAGACACACAAAAAGATGATAAAGAAGATACCAAGCAAAAGGAGCGTAAGCCAAAGGAGCGGGAGCTTGATCAGGAGGAAAAGTTCAAGGTTTGTGAAACCAGAGTGGCAGAGAAATGGGATAAAAAGGATGGCTCCTTCGAAGTGGAGTTGAAAGATAAAGTGGTAGTGCGAGATCGACCAACGCGCAAGCCACAACCAATCCATGACAAATGGAGTCGGAACAGAAAGTCGTTACCCATAGATATGGATCCACAATTTCCAGGTATGAATTGTACGCAAATCCGTAATGCTAAACGCAGGTATGCAGCTCGGCACGGGAGACGAGTAGATAAAGGGAAGGAGAATAAGGATGAGTCACCTAAAAGGAAAAATGCGAGGGACCAATTGCAGGAGCACGGGGAGATGGAAAGGCCTATCAAGAAGGCTAGGTGTTTTCGGTATCAGTTCTGTAGACGGATCAAAATCGATCCCGAAATATAAGCTGTTCTAGAAGAAGTTCCTAAGATAATCTTTGGGACGTTCGCTCCAGAGGAAACGAGGGCTTCGCACAGCAAGATAGTGAAGATTGATAAAGCCGGGTTCAAAGTCAGGATGACGGGTATGTGATGGTTCGAGGAAGAAGAAGAGCCCATATGGGCAAAGCTGGAGGAAGAGGAACCAGAATGGGCGGCAATGACTGGCAGTCCCGGATATACACACGGCAGTCCCCCACCTATGGTTTTTCCACCTATTCCAGAAGGAGCGATCCTACACTTGAAACCATTATATGTTAACGCTCACATCTGTGGTAAGCCGATTAACAAGGTTTTCATTGATAATGGAGCCATCTTCGATGTCATGCCTCTCAAAACTTTGAAGAAGTTGGGCAAAGGAATTGGTGATCTGTCTCCAGTAGATATCGAGATGACAAGCTTCACAAGGCAACCAACGAAACCAGAAGGGATGGTGGTAGCCCCTATTGAAGTCGGACCAAAGGTGATTTCAACGGTATTCTTTGTGGTAGATGCCAATACTACTTATTCGGTCTTGCTAAGGCGAGATTGGATTCACGCTTCCAAATGCGTACCTTCTTCTCTCCATCAGCATATTATGTTTTGGAAAGGAGATAAAGTGTTCAGAATGGATGTCAACACTAATCCGTTCGGCTCCACAGAAGTTGTGGAAGAGTCCGTACTTTATTCTTAGTATGTACCTCCAATTTAACAAACAGGTGTAGTAGACGAATATCCATGGAAGGGCTGTAAGCTCACTGCGCAGGGTTATGTGTTTCATTAAAAACATTCTTCTGTCTTATGGCTCTGTTGTTAGCCAAAAAAATTTACATTTATTAAAGTTTAATTACGGAAGAAATAAGTAAATGTGACGAGTTGATTAGCCAGTTTTATTTAAACCAAATAATGGTTAGACTACATGGTACGGAAGGTTCCAACAATAATGTTGATGAGGGAGAAGGTTTTCGCTGGCCTGATCTCTTGGAAAAGACAGAACCTTCCTTGTCAACTCAGGATCCTCTCATTGAATACAATATAGAAACCAAACAGATATCCAAGATGGTCAGGGTAAGTGGTTTGTTATCTAAAAACCAGCATGAGCAAATGGTAGCGCTAATTCGGGACCACATGGAGTGTCTGGCATGGGATTACTCCGAGATGCCCGGGTTGGCACGCGATTTAATTGAGCATAGGTTGCCTATTAAGAAAGGGTTCAGGCCATATAGGCAACCACCAAGAAGAGTTAGTCCAGAATTGCTGCCACAGATCAAAGAAGAAATTGAGAAATTGCAGAAACTAGGTTCATTCGACCCTGTCGGTATGCAGAATGGTTAGCCAATATTGTTCCGGTAACCAAAAAGAATGGAAAGATTCGGATCTGCATTTATTTCAGAGATCTCAATTTAGCCACTCCTAAAGATGAGTATGTAATGCCCGTAGCTAACATGTTGATCGATTTGGCAGCAGGATACCGGATTCTAAGCCTGATGGACAGTTATGTGGGGTATAATCAGATTTCACTAGCAGAGGAAGATATACCCAAAACTGCGTTCAGGTGTCCAGGAGCTTTGGGGATATACGATGGACAGTTATGCCATTCGGTTTAAAGAATGCTAGAGCAACCTATCAACAGGCAATGAATTCCATCTTTCACGATTTGATCGGGCAGTCCATGGAGGTATATATTGATGATGTAATCATTAAGTCTACTGACTTTGATACACATCTGGTTGATTTAAAAAATGCTTTTCTACGGATGAAGCAGTACAACCTGAAAATGAACCCAACAAAATGTGCTTTTGGAGTTTCGGCAGGAAACTTCCTAGGTTTTCTGGTACATGAAAAGGGGATAGAGGTCGATGCGAACAAAACTAAAGCTGTTCTAACAATGTGACCGCCCCGGTCGGTCAAAGAAGTGCAAAGTTTGTTGGGAAAGGTAAATTACCTGAGGTGTTTCATATCAAATGTCACAGGAAAGTTAAAATCCATCACAAAGCTTTTAGAGAATAAAGCAACCGATTTTTCTTGGGGTCCGGAACAGCAGGAAGCGTTAGAAGAAATTAAGCAGGCACTAACAAAACCACCCGTGTTGGTTCCTCCAAAAGGAGATCGACCTCTTCGACTGTATATAGCGAACAATTTCGATGTGGTGAGTAGTCTGCTAGCGCAAGAATGGGAGGATGGTAAGGAAAATGGCTATTTATTATTTAAGCAAAACTCTGGCAGGACCAGAGTTGAATTATACTATGCCCGAGAAAATGTGCTATTCTCTAGTCTTCGCATATACTCGGTTGGAGCACTATATTCTGCCAAGAGAAACCGAGGTAGTTTTCAAAGTGGATCTGATCAGATTAATTCTGCACAGACCAACCATGCAAGGAAGGTTAATGAAATGGGCAATTAGACTGGCTCCCTTTGCGTTACTACATCGGCCTATCATGGCAGTAAAAGGGCAGGTAGTGGATGATTTATTGGCTAAATTACGAGCAACGAACCAACAGAAAACAAGGTAGTACCATATATAGGTACTAGTCCCTGGAAAATATTTTTTGATGGTTCTCGTTCGAAAGGAAGATCAGGAGCATAAGTGATATTAGAAGGACCAGGAGCCCGGAAAATCAGTCTGCAGCTTCAAATAGAAGAGATGACTCATCACTCTGCGGAATACGAAGCACTGATTTTGGGTCTGGAAGCACTTATCGCTAAAGGAGAGCAGTCGGTTATGATTTGTGGAGATTCTCAATTGGTCATCAATCAAGTGTTAAGACGGTACGCTTGTAATTATCCTCATTTGCGTCAATATCGAGATTTGGTATATCGCCTATTATATAGAATTGCGGAGGTGGTTATCGAGCATGTACCGAGAATAGAGAATCGACAAGCAGATAATCTGGCTCAGAATGCCTGCCAGCAAATGATCGGTAGCATCGATACCGATACTGATTGGAGAACTGAAATTCTATCTGGAATCACCAAATTCTGTGACTCATGTGAGCGTTCGACTGAAAGCATTAATTTTCCGGCTTATTGAAGGAGTTTTGTATAAGAGAACCTTTGAAAGAGTATTATTGAGGTGTTTGGGGCCAGAAGAATCCATCAAAGTAATGGAAGAAGTTCATGGTGGAATTTGTGGGGCACACCGCGCAGGACTAAATATGCGATGGGCTATTCATCGTATGGGATTTTATTCGCCAAAGATATTTGATGATTGCATCAGATTTGCTAAAGGGTGTCAGGAGTGCCAGAGGCATGGTCAATTAAACCATCTGCCAACAGTAGAATTTCAGGCGGTTAAGCCATGGCCATTCAAGGCTTGGGCGTTGGATGTAATAGGAAAAATTCATCCGACGTCATCAAAGCAACATCATTCATTCTGGTAAGAACTGATTACTTCACCAAATGGGTAGAGGCAGTCCCTTTGAAGAATGCGACGCAAAAAGAGGTGATTGAGTTCGTACTCAATCACATTATTTATCGATTTGGGATTCCTCATACCCTTACAACCGATCAGGGTTTGATGTTTAACGGGGAGATATTTTTTGAATTTTTGGCCGAATTTAACATCAAATTGCATCACTCTTCACCATATTACCCATAGGCTAATGGATTGGCCGAAGCAGCAAATAAAATTGTCATCGGCATTATCCAGAAAATGGTTGAAGAAAATCCAAGGAAATGGCACGCGTTGCTACCTCAAGCATTGTGGGCCCACCGAAATAGTAGAAATACTTCTACTGGATTCTCCCCTTACCAATTAACATTCAGGCAAGATGCTGTGCTCCCTGCTGAATTTGTTGTGTCTTCACCCAGAGTGACAAATACAATAGTGAGTAATGATGAGGCATGTATACAAGCAATATGGCAACAATTGGAGGAGGTAGACACTGATCAGTTAAATGCTCTAGATCGAGTAGTTAGACAAAATGAGATTAGGGCAAAATATTATGGAAAAAGAGTGTACCCAAAGAGTTTTGCAGAAGGGGATTTGGTGTGGAAAACAATTTTGCCCACGTATAAAAAGGGGGACCAGTTAAGGAAATGGTCCCCTAATTGGGAAGGTCCTTTCATTATTCACAAAGCAATTGGAAATAGAGCTTTCATTATTGTAAATCAGGAAGGAAAGCTGGTACATGAAAATTTTAATGCTAAGTATCTGAAGAGGTATTTTCTTGCCTTTTCAGAACATTGTCATTAATTCTTATTACAAAAATCTAGGAACCCCTTTAAAGGGTTCGAACCTGCAGGAAAAGGTTCTTTAATCATCATCCGAAAGGGTGACACAAGGGTGATTGCCTTCTGGTTCAGAGGTTTCATCCCAACTCGTAGAAAACATTTCAGGTTCTTCATCCAAGAGGTCGTCTAAATTGAGACAATAACGATCTCATTGATCTTGCATTTCTTGAAGGTCTTGTTCTGTGCGGACTTTCATGTCTTGTAAAGATTGGCTTTCTCGTTCAACAAGAACACGCAGCTTGGAGAGTGTTGATGGTCGAGATCAGAAATGCGGGTAAGTATATCAATAAAGGGTTCATAACTGGTGGATACGCGTTCCATTAAATGGATTGTGCGATGTATGGTTCTTCTTCCTCTGCCAGAAAATTTAAATTTAAAAGTCCAGTTTTTTGAGCACCTGTATCATGTCCTCGGCATGATGACCTATGGGGTGTTTACCTACAAGGAATGGTTGAAAAGAACCTTCCTAGTTGGAAGAAGGGACGCGAATGCAAGGAGAAACCATTTTTGAGTGTGATGTGGTGAGTATTGATAGTATTTGCCGTAAAAGGAGTGGAGTATATATAGGTGTTGTGATGTTTGATTCCTAACTTAGTAAAAATACAAAGAACATGGATCTGTGTTCTAAAAAGTAGGATGCATATATAGACTGAGTTTAGGAGTTATATACATATTACATGTGAAATTACAAGGAAAGCAGGGCCTTAAGGGCAGTTCGGAGATCGGCCCATTTATGTTCCGAGCGAGTTGTCCGCCGACACTGGTAAGCCTCATCTGGAGTTGCTCGCAGAGACTCATCTGGGTCTGGTAATGTGCCTCCACCAGGCGACTCCCTTCCTGGATGTTGTCATCCAGGGACTTCAACTGTTCCTGAAAACGTCTGAGTTCTTCCGTCTTTCGGGAGAGCCAGCGTTTGTCGTGCTTGACGGAGTTCGTCCAGCGTAGCCTTGGCAAGGTCAAGGTCTTTGTAGAACTTCTTCAAGGATGCTTCAAGACTGGCTGGATCAGCGTTCAGTTGAGATGATGTGGCCTCGGATAATGGAGGTCGGATCAGAGGTAGATTAGTTTGAAGTTCGGTGATCCTCGCCATCATCCGATCGAGGACGGGGGGGCTTCTGACTCCAGTATGGGCTACACCAACAAGTCTATCGCGACCTGAGCTAAAGCCTCGAGGTTGGCTAAACTCAGGTCGGCGAAGGACAGGTCGGCGCAGCGTTCTATGATGAATCTGATGGGAGTCGGAATGTTCACTCGGGCCAATATATTCATCTCTTGGGCAATCTGAAACGAAGTTGTTAGAATATGGGGGAGCAGAATGAATCAGTCACAATATAAAGATGAAGTTTACCTGATCTAGAGCGGCCGTGGCTTTAGAAGGGGCCATGTCCCGGTTGCAGACGGTGAGCGACGGCCAGTTCCATACCCTGAAAGGAGAATGTTAAGTAAGGAAGAAGAAGTGAAAGTTAGAAAATGGATGAGAGAAAATACTAACCGAACCCCTTGGTGCAAAATTGACCGAAGCCTCGCCCGACTTTGAGGAAGAAATCTCCTCTATGTCGTGAGGCGGCGGGATCGGTTGTACTGGTTGGAGAGCAACCAAAGGATCCTCGCCCATAGGTAGGGCAGCTGGCTGCAAGGGCAGCGCAGCAGCGTGGTCGGGTGGTGCCACGACTAGGTCGGGCAATTCCGCGACCTAGTCGGGTTCGGGCACCACTGCGACCGCATGAGGTTCCCAGTTGAAATAATAATACAAGAGTCAGAGATTTATAAAAGAATCATATGGAAATTTCTTGGCAGTTACCTGTGATGGTTGCGGGGCAGGCGAAGGCAAAATCGGAGGAGAGGCCTGCCTCCCTGACGGCTCATATGGCTAACGGATCATTGGCAGCTCCTCTTCTGCAGGAAGAGGAGTCGGTTGAAGGACAGCCGATGGAGACCCGGGGTTGCGTAAATATGGAAGGGTAAGAGAAGGGTTTTACATAAACCCCACGATGTGACATGAAACAGTGTAATGATAGCACTTTGTACTGCAAACTCCTAAACGTCACGAGAAGTGACGCTTAGGAGTCGGGCGGGAGGAGCCAAGTTGTTCAGTAAGAAAAAAACCAATGTGCAGGGTTTTCGAGAATGGGCCTATTAATGGCAGTGGGATCCTAAATGGGTCTAAATATAAGCTAAACGGCCCAAGTATTATTAAGAAATGGGTTTTTTCGGGAGAAACCTGTGATTCGGATATCGGTGAATACAGAGGTCGAGTCAAAAGGAAGTCGGGCGAAGTAAGATGAGGCGGCCGATACGGGGGTCGGTCAAAAGGAAGTCGGGCGGAGAAAGATGAGTCGGCCGATACGGAGGTCGGTCAAAAGGAAGTCGGGCAAAGTAAGATGAGACGGCCGATACGGGGGTCAGTCAAAAGGAGGTCAGGCGAAGAAATGTCTATTAATTGGTCACTTAATTAAGCGACCCGTTAATCTCCTGATCGATTGGCCGGTCATTTGGTCAAACAGTAGTTCAGTCGCTTGAAAGGGCGGTCAATTGGTCGCTTGATTGGGCGATCGATTAAATCGTTTGGACAGATGGTTGTTTAGCAGTTTGAAGGGACTGGATGGTGGTCGCTTGATTGGGCGACCGATGAATCGTCTGGATGAATGGTTGTTCAGCCATTTGCAGGGACTGGATGGTGGTCGCTTGATAGGGCGACCGATGAATCGTCTGGACGAATGGTTGTTCAACCGTTTGAAGGGACTGGATGGTGGTCGCTTGATTGGGCGACTGATTGGTCGTTTGGTCTAGCGACCAGTTAGCATCTGGATTGGTCAGCTGGTCAATCAAAAAGAGGAGACGTAGCTACAGGTGTGCCGGTCGGACGAAAAGCAGTTCTAAGATGGTTAAGAGAAGTTACAACCGGTGAACGGATCGGACAAGTGGAAGGCGGGCAAGAAGAGACGTAGCAGTGGATATGCAGGTCGGGTGAGAAGCAGTTCTAAGGCGGTTAGAAGAAGTTACAACTGGAAAGCGGATACGAAGGCACGACCTGGTCGTGGCAGTTGACATGGGTTTTAAATAGGTCCTTTCATGGCATAAAGAAACCATCTTCAATCGAAATCAAATTCAGTGAATTGCTTTTGGGGATCACCATTTTACTTTTACAGTCTGTAGCATTTATTTTTCCTATTTTATTTATATATCGTACGGTGTCTAGGGATTCTTAATCTCACGCATTTATTTTATCAAATTCAAAGATAATTTCTATTTTTTGGATTTTACTTTTTATTGTTGAAAATCGGCATCAACAATTATTATAGGTTTATCAGGTCCTTCCTTAAGCCAAGGATTTTCCGGCTATTTATTGATGATGGTCTAGTGATCTTGTTATTACAAGGCCGAGGTTATTCCGGCTGCTAACTTAGACAGATGTAATGAGCCTATTATTATAGAGCCGAGGTTATTCCGGCTGCGCAGTTTGGCAGATGTATATATATATGTGGATGTGCATTGTTGTCAAGTTTGATATCTTTGTTGCATAATTTCCCTATTAGCATGACATGACACGTATTTTATGATTAACGGGAATTAGACTCTATTTTAAAAGGTATGACATGACATATTTCATAAATCAGATTTGTTATGTTATAATGCGTTTTTATGGTTAATTTTAGCCTTAACACTGTATTGTGGGGACCGAAGTAGGAGATGACGACCTCATGATGCAGTGTGGCGGTAGCATTTTCAGTATGAGCCAACTGGGGGTGTTACAATAGTCTTGAATCTCAAACTCCAAATTCACTTGTTTACGAATATTGATCTCACCACATTTATTTAACCATTCACTACAAAAAAATTAAAATTTAGCTACAAAAAAAAAAAAAAATCGTAGCAAAAGGTAATAATTCATAGCAAAAATATTTTTTGCGACAAAATTCATTTCGCCACCTATACCGCGTTAGTAAAGGTCTTTACCGACAAATATAGCTTTCATAACAAAAAAATAATAAGTTTTTTTGCAATGAAAGTTAATAAAAGATACATAGCTACGAAAATATGATTTCGTAGCTAAAGCTCTTTTGCTATAAAATTAAAATTCATACAAAAGAGTTTTAGTAACAAAATATGTATGATTTGTTTAGAAAAATTATTTTAGCTATGAAAAATAATTTTATAGCTAAAACCTTTTTGTTATGATAATAGAATCATAGCAAAAACATTTTAGCGATGAAATTAATTTTATAGTACATAATTTAATTTTAGCGATAAAATTAGTTTTTGTAGCTAAATGACACGTTTTAACTACAAAAAAATTTTAGTAGTTCAAAATATTGTAGCTACTTAGATACTTTTTTGTAGTGTTATACGGCTTTGGATGAACAAGGATTTTTAAACCCAACTTCTTCACTGCAAGGTCACTCATAATATTAGTACAACTACCTCCATCAATGATCAAGCTACATGCATTTTCTCCCACTTTCCATCTCCCATGGAATAAATTATCCCTTTGTTCCGTGTCCTCGACACTTTTGGGCAAAGTACTTAGAGCTTGCAAAGTCACTAACGTCGGTCTATTATTGGTTATGGACTCATCCTCCTCTGGATTGATCTCTTCGGCCTCCTCCCTATCCTCATTGGATTCGAATACATAATCTATAGTGGAAGTGATGATCATGGTCCTCTTTTTAGGACATTGATTGGCAAAATGTCCTCGTCCTTGACACTTAAAACAAAATAAATCCCGAGTGCGAGTAGTGGATCCATTATTTGGAGAAGATGCCGTACCCTTTGAGTGTGATGATGCAGGAATGCCGCATTCTTTCCCCTTACTTGTTGTTGAGGGAGTTTGCGGCTTTGACATGTTTTTCGGTTGCAGTGTCCTTTGATGTATGTGCATTTTATTTTTTTTCTTCAATTGTGTTTACAATTTAATGGCTTGGTGTACCATCTCCTCAAAGTCCACGTAATAATACATCTCTAAACTATCAGCAATTCCTTGATTAAGCCCATTGAAGAAAAGGGCCGTAATACATTCAGAATCATCGTCAACATTAGGTTGTTTCAGCAACATTTCCAACTCCTTGTGGTATTCATCCACCGTTCTTGATCCTTGCTTCAAACCTTCCAACCTTCTTAGTACCTCACAGTGATGATGTGGTGGTACGAATTTCCTCCGCATGAGTCCTCGCAACTCATTCCAAGTGCGGGGGAAGGCTCTTAATGTCTAGATCGTAAGAGGTTGGTCTAGTCCCACCATGATAAAACATAGTCAGAGAACTCCATGACAACAACACGTAATTTTTTTTTGCTCTGAAAGTTGTTGCACGTCGAAAATCAACTTC